CCTCATTTGTAAAGGTGAGAAGGCTAGCTGACCACCTTCCGTAGAATTCCCATGTGCACCTCTCACTGTCTGTGAAAGTCACAGCCACAGCCCCCAGAGGAGATGGGCCTGTGGCACATAAAGGCCAGAAGGTGGCTGTCAGGCAGGCTAGCCCCGGAGGCTGTCCTGTTGACCTCCACGTTACAGATGGACACGACATCAGAGAGGGAGGTGAGTCACCCAAGATTCCACTGGCAGTGATTAAGATCCCAAAATGAATAGAAAGCCACATCCAGTCAGCACTGCAAGTGGTGGCAGAGGACTTCACAGAGCCCTGGGCCCCTGCGCCTGTCTGCAGAGGGGCTCCAGGAGCAGCCACAGGCATGCGAAGGACACCAACATTTCTCATATCAAATTACTCACTGCTCTTTACCACCGAGGTTCCTTGCAGCAACCCTGAGAGGTGGGCAGAGCTGATTATCCCATTAATACATTACATCTCAGACATATGAAGGGCCATGCCCAAGGTCTCAGAGCTAAAGAGGAGCAGGCCCACGGAAGGACTGGGTCATCAAGCTTCTAGCCTGGGTTTTCTCTCTCCCACATATTCCTGCCCCTAGTTCTCAAGGTCATTTGACACCACCAGCAGGGTAGACACTGAGGAGAGATGCAAGAGGAAATGGCATGGCCTTCATCCTCCAGTTGATAGCACGTAGATGGAAATATTAGCAAAGACCAAGGCACCATGCAGCATTTCAGCAAGTGGGAGGGGTCTTCAAGTTCAAGGGTCACAAGTACATGAACTACTTTGAAATGTTCATTTAGTGCCCAGAGACCTGTATTTCTCTCTCTCTCCTTCTCTCCTCACACCTTTCCCTTTAATATCCTGCCTTTTTCTAGCCACTTCTTCCCCACTTCCCTTTGCCGTTCACTCCCACCAGAGCCCATGGCTGGATGTGGCACTGCCCCCCTCCCAGCCTCGGGGGCCTGAACAGCCTCTGGCACTTTCTTCTGTTCCTTTTCATGGTCACCAGCAAGGACAGGGAGGGGCCTTCAGATCTCTGAGGAAAGAGCAGGTTTCTGGGGGCAAAAATGTTCTTTTCCAAAAGTCAGGGTTTAGAGTTTAGGAGGATTTTATTGAAAACTTGAAGGAAATAGAGGAATGTCCTCTCTCTTTTCCTGTTGGTGGTTCGTTTTGTTTTTGTTTTATGTTTTTCTGCTGTGATAAGGAGGGTCTCACGTGGGAATAGCAAGAACATGAAACATGGACGTTTTATAAGTCAACCAACTTGTGTGTCATTTACAATTAAGAAATGTCCCCAGATGGGCCCAAACTGGAGAATCTCAAAAACTATGTATTTATGTATTTCTAGTTTACCCCAAAACTTATTTTTCTATCCCCAAAGCATACTTTTTCCTCTCAACATGACTCTTCTAAAATTGTCATCTGTGCCTATGAAAATGAAACTGTGGAAGATCCTCTATGGCTGTAGAGCAACCATATGCCCTGGTTCAGGCTGCCATATGCTACATTTGAAAATATCAAGAGAGGTTTGCCTAAAAGCGAGTCTTGTAAACTGAGCTTTTGGTAAGAATTTTATGGGCCTTCCTCATTTTAAAATATGTACATATCTCATTTAAGTAAGATTGTCTCGATTAGCAGAGGTTTAGCCCACATTTACTACCTAGTAAATATTTGCTGAATGAAGGATCAAGGAGTGTCAATATAGGAAGGTGTAGGCAGACAGAACTCTTGCCCTGGCATTAATCACTAAGCTGCGAAGTATACGGTGAACAAGTCCCCTGTCCCAGGATCTCTCATAAGAGCACCGTTTGTGTGCTGTCTCCATTTCAGAGAACCCCAATTTTCAAGTCCCCTGAGTTCTCTACTGTCCTAACTTACAGGTGTGTTGCTTGGGCCATGTTTATCTAATTCAGTTCTCCAAGGCCAGACCGCATCCAGAAGGGCTGCCTGGAATGTATGCATAGAGAAGGGGCCACCTCAGGGCCAAAGGGCAGGCCTGGTGTCAGGATGCCTGTTCACGAGAAGCACCTGGCCAGGGGCTAATAGTAACATTATTATCAAGCACTTATGTGCTGGCCATCATGCTGATCTCACCTAATCCAGCATCTCCGCCAGCTCGGTCTGATTGTTCATTTTCCAGAGGGGCAAACAGAAGCTCCAGGCCCTTCCTGGGACTTTCATTTCTGGCGGGGTGGCCAACTAGACCATCACAAAGGCCCTCTGACCACAAGAAACAACAATTTGTTTTTAAAACTCACTGCTGAAATTTTTTTTTTGAAAAAAGGAAAAAAAGGGATGTGGGGGGTGCTCATATGCCAGAAGCAAGGAGGCAGGTGAAAGCCAGAGCAGTAGACACTTGGAGCCTGAAATGAGTCCAACAGCCCCGTCTCCAGAAGCTCATGGTCTGGGAGGGAGACAGAGAAAGTCAGTCACAGTGTCGGGGAGGCCAGGGCTATGATGGAGATCCCCCAGTGGCTGGAAGTGCACAGAGCAGTGGTATTTCAGCAAGACTCAGAAACCCATGCTTTCCACTTAAGAAATAGTTCCTAAAAGTCTCTTTAAGACTCAGAAACCTTTCCCACCCCACAAAGACCTGAGTTCAGATTTCTGAGTCAGCTACTTCACTGACTGACTGTGAGACCTTGACCCAGTGACTTCTCCACCGTGAGCCCTGGTTCCGTCCCTCCACAGTGAGGGTGATGAGGGCAATGGTGGCTACTTCCTGGAGCTGGGGAGACTCCGGGACACTTTCCTTGGAAACATTCCTTGTAAAGCATTTAGCACAGCGCCTGTCACTCAGTAAGTGGCAGCTGTGGTTATCTTCATCATCACCATCATCTGGCTGATATTAAAAGTATTAATGACAATAATAATAATTCCTGGCTAAGCTTCTTCCAGGCGCCACGGAGCAGTGTGTTTGTAAGGAGGTAGAAGACTGGTTTCCAGGGACTGCTTCGGTGGTAAACAAGAGCAGGCGAGAGCTAATAAAATTTCAAATTAGCCATGACTTTTCACGGCCCTTCAACTGTGCTAGCCGATTTAATGGTCAGCGTCCCCACTCGCGGGGATTGAATAATGGAGCATTTCTGCCGAGTTATGGATGCGGCAGCTGAATCTGTCATGCTAACGTCAATAGCAGAATGCAAATCACCCTCAGTGCAGGCTGCAATTATGTGTTTAAGCGATGTCTGACAGGGCAGCGCGAGAGAGTGTGGCCGGGCCCGCCGACTGCAGGAGAAACAGGTGCTTTGCTAGGAAGTTAGTCGGTGTATCTGGGACCTGGGACAGGAGCCGCAAGTTAGGACGCAGGACAGTGCTGGGTGACAGGAGGCCTGTCTACATCTCAGGATGAATCTGACAGGTGAGCAGACAGAAGGCATATGGCCCTTCATTTTAGTGAGGCTGTTCCAGGTTCAGGGTCAGGAAGGCGAACTACCCCATATTCAGTACTTACTGGGTGCCAGGTACTCCGCTGGATCTGGGGGTGTATTTCTTTATGTAACAAATACTTACACCCACTCCTATAATCCCCTCATAAGAGATGTGAGAAACTGAACCCAGAGGGTACTCTGGTGGGCAGCCTCTATATAGCAAACCCACAGAGACAGAAGTGAGGGAAGCATGTCCATGACGAGACTGGGGCTCAGAGTAAGTACAGAAACTCAATCTTGAACTTGAACTTCCGTCTCGGAGCCTCATTCATCCCTCACCATGTAACACTGTATATTAACTAGAATGAAGATAATGGTGTTCTGGCTTTCATAGACTGTCATTTAGTTTCATTTCCTGATTCACTGGTTAATCTATTCATGTATCATTCATTTCTTTATTAAACAGTCATTTTTTAAACACCTGCACTAAGTGCTGAGGACGCAGCAGAGATAACCAGAACAGGGCCAGGCCCCATGGTGTGGGGAAGTTTGCCCAAAGCCACAGCTAATAAGCAGGAGAGGCAGAGTGTGACCCATGTCCTCCCCGCCAGGAACTGTTCTCTGCCAACAACACACAGACTATAACCCTGGGTTTCTTTGCCCCTCACTTCGGGCAGCATCCTCTAATCCCTGGATTTGTGGTCCATGTTAAGTTAGTCTGTGGCGTGCCTGTAAAAATCCTTTGAGATAATGCGAGCAAAAACCTGTGGCCTGGTGGAATTTCTTTCTTTGAACTTTGGGAAGCTGGAAGTTGTAATATAATTTGAAATCCATCCATGTGGTAAAGAGAATTCCCTGCTAATTAATGGCCACTGGGCCAGAGACAAGAAACCTTTCAGTAAACTCAGAAAGCCCCTCCCACAGAAGGTGGAGCCAGATGTGCATATACCTACCTCCAAGCCAGGAGAGTGGCTGAGAGTTACAGTGCCTTTGAGGCACTGCCTCTTCCCCTCCCTCAAAAGCCAGTCAGTCGCCAGGTCTTAATGTTTTTACCTCTGAAATGTCTCTCAAAGCCCCCACTTCTCTCAGTCCCCACTGCTAGTACTCTAGTCTCAGCGGTTGTTTTTCCCTGTGCCACCTCAGCTACCACCCCCTCCCATATTCCCCAGCTCCTACCCCATGCTTAAGACCTTTCAGTAGCTCCCATTGTCTCTGGGATAAAATGCAAACTCTGTAACCTGTCCCCCCACCCCCAGGCCCCACAGTGTGCTTCTGCCAACCTCTGCAGTCCCACCTTTTTTTAATCCCCTGTCCCCACCTTCGGAGCCCAACTTTTGAACTTAGAAACTTCACTGTTCAATGTGTTCTCTTACCTCTTACCTTTTTGGGGAAAAAATAGCATATATCCACTGTCCACTTGTCTGTCTCTCCTGTGAGACTAGTGGGTTGGGACCAGATCTGAAGCACCTGAATCTCCTTGGTGCCCAGCAAAGGTGTTGGTTTATACCAGGCATTTAATAAAGTTTTTCAGTGAGTGGGAAATAGAGAAGTGCATGATGGTATTGTGGACAAGCGTGGCTGATGGAACATAGTGACATAAACCTCATGCTCTGTCACCCCTACAGATGGTCTGGTCGACTGCATGGACCCCGACTGCTGCCTCCAGCCCTTCTGTCATGTCAACCCACTGTGCCTGGGCTCCCCTGACCCACTGGACATCATCCACCCCGCATGGAGCCCCCAGCTTCCACCCCCTGTGTCCCAGCAGAACCTGCACTCCTTCTATGACCGCATCAAGTTCCTCGTGGGCAGGGACAGCACACACATCATCCCCGGGGAGAACCCCTTCGATGGAGGGTGAGTTCATTGGGCCCTGGCTCCAGCCATGGCTCTCTGAGGGAGAGCTGGTCACCTCCAGGGCAACATTTGTGGGGGTGGGGGTGGGGGTGGGAGGAGGCCAGGAGGGGTGGCCATCAAAGGCTATTGATGGAATGTCAGGGGAGGGTGGCGGAGTAGCGGCCTCAGATGGCCGCATTTAGAAGGTACACTCTCCAAGGCATTTGGCATTTTTGATGAGCAAAGTTTTGTTGTTCCTGCTGGGTGATGGATGGGGAGAATGAGAAATCAGTGGTCCAGGGGGAATCTAGGATCAATACCCACTCTGCAGGCCGCCATCCCTGAGTCTGCAGTCCCAGACGAGCTGAAAGGCTCTAACACTGCTCACCGTCAGAGCTGGTGTCCAGAGGCTTGTCAGGCTGCGGTGGGTCCACCCGCTGGGGTCCCAGGCCATGTGCCCGCGCATTCTTTCACAAGTTTTAATTGTGTCAGCCATTGGGCAGTTTTTTCCTGGGATCTCCTCTCTGCAGGCCCTGTGCTAGAATCAGAGAGATGAATAGAATACAGCCCTGTTCATTGGCCATTCCAAGTCCACTTACTAGGGGCATAAAAAAGAGACGGTTCCAGTGTGAGAAGCCAGAAATATGCCCCCAGGCAACTCTGAGATCATAAAGGAGGTGCTCCTGGGTAGGGGGAAGGCCATTACTTAAGAACTGCATCTTAAAGATGGGAACTAGCTGGAGGGAGAGGGTGACCAGGGAGAGGGAACATGCAAAGACCCAGGAGCATGAAAGGGCACAAGAGCCAGCAAAAGATTGCTCTCTATTCTTCACCCACAGATCAGGGTCTGTGAACTAGGAAAATGTATCCAAAAAGGGGGGATTTATAGTAATTTCTTTTGAATGTCTTCCAATGTAGTAATGCCTCATAGATGCAGAGGTTTCTCTAAAGTCTGCTCAGTTCAACTGAGCACTCACAGACTCTGTACCTTCTACGTTCATGACTTCTGTGCTGGGAGTTCCTGCCCTGAGTGGATAATGCGGTGGTGATGAGGGGTGGGAATGGTGAAGGACAGCCTCAAGTTTTGTTTAAAAGGGGAAATCGGGAGGGCTTAGTCATGGGTTGGGTCTGAGAGATGCTAGAGCGAGGAGTCTCTTACTCAGATGCCCAGGTCGATGGCGGTACCCTCACCAGGGACCTGAGAGCTGAGCAGGATTGGGTGCTCCACCTGAGCACCCTAAGGGCAAGGAAGGGACACACCACCATAGGGCACACAAGAGGACATGTCTATAGTTCATCAGCAAGTCTGCAGCTCATGCAGTGGTTAGGTAAGGCTGTAGATCTTGATTTGAGAGCTATCAAGAAACACGCAGGAGTTGATCACGAGCACACAAAGTTTGCTCAAGGAGAATGAGTGAGGGGAGAAGAGCCGGGACCTAAGAAGGAATCAGGGGAGCTGCCCCCGGTAAGTGGTATTATCACCCCCAGAGTGTAACTGGGACTTCAAGAAGAAGGCCTCGCTGCTGGGCCATGATGGAGCCAGATTTGCACCAGGGCCTAGTGGACTGCAGGGCCCAGGATTTTCCCAGCCCTGCCCTTTCTCACAGGAACAATGACAAGACCAGGAAGAGAAGTGGGGAAGTGCTCTGAGCCCAGACAGAGGGGCATGACGCAAGTGTGTAAAAGCTTTCAAAGGAACTTTTTTAGAGATGAAAGCACTTCATAGTCCAAATCCTTCAACCTACCCTTGAGAGGTTCAGTGACCTTCCCAAATTCACAAGCTGGTCAAGCGGCAGAATCAGGGGCAGCACTAGAGCGAGGAAACCCCTCTTCCTTTATGTTGGCCAGAAATGCTGCCTTTGTCTCTGGGTCAGAAGCTTTTGGCTCTCTCACCCAGCTGTGTGGTTTTGTATGTATGCTGTGGGCCTTCCCATGGCATGAGTCCTTTCAGTCAACTGGAGATGTAAATATTATTCCAGCCAAGGGAATACTACTTACTCAGCCTTTCTTTACTGGACCCGTTATGGAATCTGTTTAGGGCTGGTTGGCTTCCAGTGGCTGTTCTGCTTGTGGGATGCCCTCACCATGCCAACCTGGCCAGTGCCAGCAGGGACCATGCACCCCTGTGTGTCCTCTGGTCACTGGCCATGCCTGCTGCTTGTGTGCGGAGAATAACTGTGGGACCTGCACAGGGACCTCAGTAGTGTGGCTCCAGCAGGTCTCGCTTGCCTTAAGGAGCCTGTCTAGTGGGGAATGTGGGAAACCTGCACTGAGAGAAACTGACCTCTCAGCGGGAGGGCAGTATAGGCCTCAGAGTCAGGCCAACTTGTGCCTCCGAGCCTGGGTCTGCCTCTCTGGGTGCACAGCTCTGGGCAAAGGGCTTCATATGCCAAATATGCTCAAGACAAATATGCATAGATATTACCTTGAACAATGAAGAAATGGAAGGAAGGAAGGAGAGAGGGAGGGATAAGGGGAGGGGCGGTAGGAAGGAGGATGGATGGATACATTATCTGGTTTACTTAATTTTATACTGTGGTTCCAGAGTCCGGAGAGGTTAAATCATCTACTGAAAATCACATTACAGATTAGTAACATTATTTCTATATCTGTCACCTTCAGTTAAATTACAGATGTATTCAAAGAAGACACCATTCAACTCCTCAAACCTATAATACTGGACTCTAGTATGTGCTCTGCAAATGAATGGATAATGGAAGCTTCCAAATGTTACTATAAAAATTCTTTTTACCTAAATTTTCCTGAGTCATTATATCCCTGCTCCTCACTGATCTAGATTCAAAGGAAACAGCTGCCCATCACTACCAAGTATCCCCAAATAGATTTTCTTGGAAAACAAGCCCAGGAGACAGCAGATGCTTTTCTCCGTGGACTACCACCTCCATATCCCGTGGCCTCAATCTGGGCCAGAAATACAGTGCTTATTTGCATAGTTGGGATACAGTGAAATCAGTTACCAAGTTTGGATTATTACTTTCTTTCCTCGCAGGTGAAGAATGTGGAGTGACAGAAAGTGCCCAGAGTTTGAGTCCTGGCTTTACCTCCCACTAGCTCTGTGTGGCATCAGGGAAATGAGTTAACCTTTGTTCACCTGCCTCCAGTGATAAATTGGCAAGAACAGCGACTATTCATAAGAGCCATTGAAAGCATTACCCGAAATAAAGCACCTGGCACAGGGCTAGGTACACATGTGATCAGTAAATGGTGGCTTTTATGGCAGCAGCCTGGCCTAGTGAAAACAGTACAGGCTTTGAAATGAGGCAGAGCTGGATTTAAAGTCAGTTGCATCCACTTTCTGGCTATGTGACCTTGGGAAAATTCCTTAACTTCTCTGAGCTCTACTTTCCTCATCAGTAAGAGTGGGGTGGTAATGTCTGTTTTGCAGGGTCGCCATGAGAATTAAATGGAAAAAAAATGTACATAAAATCTCAATCTAGTGCTGGCCACCCACAGAATGCTTGCTAGTTATAAGATAACTAGAGGCCCAATGCACGAAGATTCGTGCAAGAATAGGCCTTCCTTCCCCTGGCTGCTGGCACAGGTTTCCCTCTGGCACCCAGGACCCAGGCTGCTTTGCTCCAGCCGCCGCCAGGTATCTGGGACCGGGGCTGCTTTGCTCCGGCCACTGCCGCCACCCACACGGGGCGTGCTCCGAGCCGCGCCGCACCCCCACCCCTGGTGTCTGTGTGTCCAATGGGATGAGGGCGTGCTCTTCCACCCCTGGTGTCTGTGTGTCCGCTGGGGTGGGGGCGGCACACAGTCCCCTCCCGCCCATCTGTGCGCGCAGCTCCTCCTGAGCTGTCGTGATGCAGCCTCCTCCAGCCTGGCATGACGCCCAGCTAATTTGCATATTACCTGTTTTTTTATATATATCGAAGTTGGTGATTAGGAGGAAGGTGATGGTGTGATGTTGCAGAGAGCTTCCACCTCCACTTCCTTAATTGGAAGCGAAACTTGAAAGTAACCTGTGCTCCAGGAAAGTCCAGCAGCCACCCTGAGAGGAACCGGTTCCGACTGTCCAGTCCTTGTTTGGGGAAGGGGAAGGCAGCAGCATGCCAGCTGGCTGTCAGGGGATCCTCATTAGGGAGGAATCCAGTGGCACTTTCCCAGGGAGTGGGATTTCTGAGGGACACACAGACTTGACTTGGTGCCTGTATATAACACTAACAAGGCCTGTGACTGACAGAAAACCCCATACCCTTCTGCACCTCATATGCTGTGCTGCAATTTGTATAGTCTGAATGGGAGTCTGTTTAACAGGCTCCAAGAAGCAGTCTGTCAACCAGAAACCCAGCAGCATGTCTGAGCCCAGCAAGGCAAGGCAAGCCCAGAAGTACAGCTCCTTCACTCTGCAGACTCGCAGCTGTGTGTCTGACTCAGGGAGGGGGCTCCCTATGCTTCTGCGCAGCATCCCCGCTGGTGGCAGAGATACAGGAGCAGGGGTGGCCCTCGGGAAAAGATGCGAGCAGCTCCCCAGGGTGTGAGGGCCCCAGCCATGCAGAATGGGCTCTGGGCTGGGCTGCACCCCATAGAGCAGTGGTTCTCAACCTTCTGGCCCTTTAAATACAGTTCCTCATGTTGTGACCCAACCATAAAATTATTTTCGTTGCTACTTCATAACTGTAATGTTGCTACTGTTATGAATTGTAATGTAAATATCTGATATGCAGGATGGTCTTAGGCGACCCCTGTGGAAAGGGTTGTTGGACCGCCAAAGGGGTTGCGACCCACAGGTTGAGAACCGCTGCCGTAGAAGAAAGCATAGAGCTTGACTCAGAACTGAAGCAAAAGGGCTGCCAGATGGACTCAGAGTGAGGAAGGCGTCCCTCAGAAACACTGTCTGGTTCATCTGTGTCCCCGGAGCTCGGGACTATGCCTGGCCCAAAGCAGGTGTTCAATACAAGTTTAATGAATACAGTAGCCCTATCTGACATTCTGTGTGGCTGTCCTCAACTCCACATAAAGTGATGGAGATGAGAAAGACTGCAACTGATCTAAAG